ATTAAATGTGACATACTATTTGATTCATTTTCAATGTCATTTTATTTTACTACATTGATAAACATTTTACCATGCTATTATTTATTCTCCAGCAGGCTCTGACCTGACCTCGTCACTACTCTACCGAGGTTAGGCTTGGCACTTACTGGGTACCGCTGTGGTGTACTCATACTACGCTTCTGCACATCTTTTTGTGCAGATCCAGCTACATTTTACTAGCCTAGACGTCAGTGAGTTACCTGCGCATGGAGACTTCGAGGTATATCTTCCAGCGTCCGCAGACTCCGGAGTCCCCTTCTATCATTTTATGTTGCTTCCTTATATTTTATTTAGACCTTGACATATAGAGACATTGAGAATAAATTCTTAGAAGCTTGTGACTTATTTCTACCGGGTTTTGGGAGTTGAAATTGTTTGAATTGTAGTTTATTTATTTCAGATATTTATTATTATTCCGCATTGATATGCTTACCTAGTCTTAGAGAGTAGGTGCCATCACGACATCCTACGGAGGGAATTTGGGGTCGTGACAGTATATTATATTGCCCATGCTATTAGACTAGTGAGTGTCTTGACTGTACCTCGTCTCTACTCCACTGAGGTTAGTCTTGATACTTACTGGGTACCGACCGTGGTGTACTCATACTACACTTTTGCATATTTTTGTGCAAAACCAGGTATTGGAGATATCAGACTTGAGCAGAGTTAAAGCGGTATCGTAAGGATTCAAGGTAGGGCTGCTTGGTCGTCGCAGTCCCTTGGAGTCTTTTTCATTTTAGTGTACTGTTAATTTGTAATCCAATAATATTGTATATTCGGTCCTCGTGATCATTCTGTGTATTCAGTTAGAGTTCGTGACTCAATACTACTAGTCTTGGGAGATTGTATGTACATATCTGTTCCGCTGTTAGTTTTGATTACTTATTTAATTTTTTTTTTAAATGGTTTTAAATTGTAATTGAAATCGGCTTACCTAGTCTTAGAGACTAGGTGCCATCACAACGCATGTAGTGAGATTTTGGATCGTGACATATTTTGAGCCAAAAACTGGTCTAGAGCTAGTTTTGGGATTGGGAAAATTTGTTTTCAAAATCTGCCAAAACGTGGATAAAATCTATAAATAAACATGTTTTGTCAAAAAAAAATTAGAAATATATTGTACAGTACTCTCATAATAAAGTTACTCAATAAAAGAAAAAAGGAAAAAGTTTAAAAAGTTATTACGTAAAGTATATTTTTAGAATATCAGAAAAACCACAACTTGAAAAGTAAACAAAAAGTAATTCTTTTTACTCTCACATGATAACCCAATTTTTTTCTGTAGTGATTAATGAGAAAAAACATATGGTCGGCTCTAAATTAGTAATAGAAATTTTTTAAGTATATATTAAAAGTAATAGGATTATATGGCTAAAAATATGTCCATATCCCGAAAGTAATTATACTAAAGGAAAATCTAACGTGTTCCTAAAGGTATAAGGTTTACATTCTAATATGTAGTATTATATATCTATGCCCGAAAATAATTATACTAATAGGATTCCTAAAGGTAATCATTTAGGATTTTCAACGTGTAGTATTATGTCCTAAAACTAATAGGATTACAAAGCTAATATCTAGAATTCCAATTATATCCTTTTATTGTGAATTATTATGCTTAATATTAAAAGGTTATTTTTGTAAACCAATATTTTATTCATGCTTTTATAATAAATATAGATATATAGATTAAGGACTTATGATTTTGAAAACGTCTAGGGTGTCAACCAAAATCAAAATCCGGGAAGATTCTTTTGAATTGTTTAAACACAATAATAAGGTAAAACACAAGATAATAAGAGGTGAAAATCTCCTTTTCAAAAATATTAAAAATAAAAACAAGAGGTAAAATTCTAATGTTTTTCATTTTTTGGTTTTAAGAGGAATTGCTTCTAGCTTTGTATACTATGCATTTGACGTCCATAATGCGATCCAAACCAAAAAATGAAGTTCAGAGGTAATAGAAACACAAACACAGGTGTGCAAGTTTAGAGAGTTTAAAGGGTGAGATAATATTATTAATTTGAATCAACAAAAAATGAAAGTACAATGTTTTAAAAGAGTTAGTTATTGTTTAATTTTCTTTATCTTTGCATTCATCCCAACAAAATGACAACTCCATATATATATATATATATNAGATTTCTCTAGGAGCTATAAGGTCAACCTCTTCATTCCCAAAACTCTAAAAGACAAAAGATACAATTTTTCAATTTGTGTTATTTGACAAATCTTTGAAAATCATTATAAAGGTTACTTGTCTTTTACAGCATTAGGTTATAGAAATAAGAACAATTTTCTTAAGATATAAATTCCTGCAAAAGTCCTCAGTAATCACAATAAGACATCTGAGGACTTCTGCAGGGCATGATTTCTTCCTTTCATCGAGCTAACCTAATTGAATCAACATTCCTCAGTTTCAAAAGCTTACACATACTTCCATGTGATTTTTCAAATTATATACTCATATTGGGCGTACCCGGAAATTAGTAAAAATAATGGTAGTAGAAATTTGAAGCGAGAATTAAACAAGTTGGGTGACCAATTTACCACCACGGCGAACTGTGCATTCGGGAGTGGATGAGACTTGCTGGCAATATCCCCTAACAAATCAAAATCAATACCAAAATATAAAAATAGGTAAAATTTTGCATAAAAAAGAAAAACTTATAAACCTGATTTGTGCTGTTGATGCTCCAAGCAAAACCCGGCCAGCACCAGCAGCCAATTGTCTTCTACTCAACCAAAAAAGAAAAAGAGAGATAAAAGTCGATCAAGTCCCGAGATAAATAAAAAAAGAAAAAAACGACAATCATTAAGCTGAAACCAACGCACCCTCTGAAACGGAAAGCCATAACACACGGCACTCTTTCTCGAAACAAAATAAACAAGCGCTAGCAGCCGCACGGATGATAAAGGAGTGATTTTATCGCGTGTTAGTTGTGTGACGTCTCTTTTTATCTCACACCGCACCGATGATAAAGGAGTGATTTTATCGCGTGTTAGTTGTGTGACGTCTCTTTTTATCTCACACCGCACCGATGATAAAGGAGTGATTTTATCGCGTGTTAGTTGTGTGACGTCTCTTTTTATCTCACACCGCACCGATGATAAAGGAGTGATTTTATCGCGTGTTAGTTGTGTGACGTCTCTTTTTATCTCACACAATAGATCTATATCTTACGCATTTGGGTTCACAAAATTATAAGACCAAAAAATAGGCCTCACACAACTAGCTCATTATGTGAGGCACAAAATAAAAAATTTCTCTCAACCCAATTTATGTCTACTGCCAGACGGGCCGGCCCATGCTGAGCCGTGTGGGGTCCATTTTGAATGAAAATTGTAAAATTTATTGTTATTGTCTACACTTGTATAAAATTATTTAAACTAGATATCCCCACTCTCAAATATTTTGAGAAACTAACTTAAACAACCGATCGCCTAAAAAACTAAGCAAATAATATATATACTATAAATATTTTTGTCCGAGCGACTAATTCTATAAAAATATTTATAGTATATATATTATTTGAATATTTTTGTCCGAGCGACTAATTCTATAAAAATCCCAAATATTTCAGTTGATACCACCATTTCAACGTTAATATTGTACCCAGTCCTAAACAAATTAGAGTTGATTAATATGAGTCCTCGTTGATGCATTAATTTAAGCTTAACCCATATACCATCATACTAAATAAAATAAAAATTTAAAATAAATTATATATATTAGAAGTGACAAGACTAAAACATATTTTCAAATAGTAAATATTACATAGGGGTCAATTTCTTCCATTATGTCATGTCTTTTGTTAAGTCTTTCAAGACAATTTCTTTTCATGTAATTTTAGGTATACCCCGTCCCTTTTAATATGTTTATATATCATAGTTTCATACCCGTGAACGAGTATATTTATAGGTCAATGTAGGATATTGCCAAATCATCGACTTTCTCTCATTTTAACCTCAATGCGAGCTACTTGCAACTTGTAACATATATGATCATTTTAAATCTTATTTAATATTGTATGACCACATATCTATTTAGCATCCGCATTTCTGCAACACTCATCTTGAGAATATGTTGAATTTTAGTGGTCCAGCTTTTACTACATATAACATTATCGCTTTTATAATTGTTACGTAGAACTTACCTTTTACTTAGTTAGGTCCTTCTATCGCATAATATTTTCATAGTATTTTTCCATGTCAATTATTCGGTTTTTAATACTAAGAGAAACATTTCATTTCATTCTCATAAAACCTAAATATCTAAGTTGTTTGCATTTTGGCACAACAATTCCGTCTAGTTTCACTTCAACTTCACTCTTCTCGTGTTGATTAAACTTGCAGTGCGACCTCATTATCTTATGTCAACACTTGTTGAAAATTATCTTTTATACACTTCACTTGCTTTAAATTTTTATCCACTCTTCTCTCTTAATAGTGCTAGAATAGTAAGAATTCAAGCTAGGTGAAATGTATTAAATATGATTCATATTTTTTTAAAAATTGACAACAAACAAGTTAAAAGAATTGTTACAAAAAATAAGATGTGATGAATAAGCGCAATATCGTAAACGACAAAGGAAATTAGTACGAAATCAAATCTTAGAGAATATTATTTGAAATTATTCCCTTTTATATTGATTTTGTCTCAAATAGAAAATATACATAGTCTTCTAGACTTATTCTTTTAGCCGAAATGGACCAAAACACCCAACCATGGACTTAAACGACTAGTGCAGATTAGTCTTAAACGACTAGTCTTAAAGATTGAACATAAACTGGATTAAGATCCAATATCCTTTCTTATACAGTTATGTTTGGAACTGAAACTGGAATCTTTTGGGCTGCATAGTTTATGTTATTTTTAAATCGTTTTTTGGTATCTCTACAATTTGTTGATTTTTGATTTTAAAAGATTGTGCCTGTTCGATATTCAGTTTTTTAGCACGGGCAACGGCTACAGTCCACGGATTCTGATCGAATTGAAGGATTCGGTTTAGATTTTCTCTCTAGGGAATGTTTACCCTCAAAATCGGATAACAATTGAATTTGTAAGTGGTTTTAAGGATACGTGATTTAACTTGATATAAAATGATAAATTCGATTGGAATTGGAATAAGTAATGAAAAAGTAAATACTAACCATACAAGTTGAACAATCTTAGCCGTGGAAGGTTAGCCACCCTCTAGTCAAAAGTGATTTTGATTGATATCATAACAGAACAACGAGAGAATAATAATAATATATTACTTTGGGATGCGTGTTACAATGTGTTGAATGAATTATCAGACCTCGTTTTTATAGTAGATGAGTCATACTCTAGGTACATTTCCATAAAAGGTAAAAATCTCTTGATTCGCTGATTGCCGGTTCCTTACTGATACGTGCCGAGAATCCCCTCCGCAATATCCGACCGGCCGCGGATATTTCGGTCTTCTGTTAGTTAGCTCAACAATGTTTCTCCGAGCTCATTCGAGGCTAAGGTCGACACCGGACTCACTGCTCCTCGAAGGCAGGCGTTCTGACCTCGGGTTCTAGCTCGGTGGGACTCGAGGTTGATCTTCAGTCCTTGGTTGCCACGTTCCAAGCCTAATCTACTAAGTTGTAGGCGAGCTCAATTTCGACCGTATACAGATAATCCCCTTATTTTTCGGAGAGTAGATGACGAGAAACGACATGAACTTCTGATCCTGACTTCGATATTTTGTGACAGAAACGACAAAATAGTTGAAACGTCTCGTCAGTCAAGTCTTAATGGCATTAAATGCCCGTCAGTTGCCGGCCGGCCACTCCCAGATATGAACAGTCGCTGAGAAACTATAAATACCCCCCTTATTAGTTCATTCAAACTTTACTTTCAAACCTTCTGACCTCGCACCCTAAAAATTTCAACACTTCCAAGTATTGATTTTCTGGTTACTCTGAAATTCTTTCATAAGAACTTCAGTTCTGTCTTTATCCCAATCATCAAGCATACTCTTTTAACTCCCTCTTTTCCCTTCATTTTCAAAGAAATGGCGAATACTTCAAAATTTGATCCCCAAAAAGAAACTCCCTCTTCCTCGCGGCCGGCTATCGAGGAAACCGTCTCGCGCACTGATGTCGAGGAATCGACACCGGAGCCTCCTCTAAAAATGTTTTTTCCCAAGGGGTGCCCGATCAATGTCGATTTCAAGGTTGAAAAACCTTCTTCTGTACCGGGCCGATGTGAGGCAGTCTCGAGGTACATTTACTCGATCACCGAGGATATTCTCTCTCAAGTCAAAAAGGATTGCAACTGGGTTGACAAACATGTGGTGGTTCCCGAACCTAACGAAGTCATCGCCACCCACGCCGAGGGATTTTTAAGTATTTACACTTATCCCTACACGTTGAGTCCCTTGGACCTGATCATCATCGACTTCTACAAGAGATACGAGGTAACCCTCGGTCAGATTCACCCCTCTTTCTGGAGGATCATAATCCTCCTCCGTTTCTTTGTGAGCAAGATCGAGGGGTGCCCTTTCACGATCGACCACCTTATGCGTTTATACAGTCCCTGACTCTACCAGGGAGGACTGATCAAGCTCGCCTGTCGGGCTAGTAATGATGTGTTCTCAAGTTTCGATGAAGACATGGATCGAGGATGGCTAGGCCGTTTTGTCCTAGTGAGAACCTCAGACTTAATCCCGGCCGAGCACATGTCGTTCACTGAGAAGTGGAATATGAAACGTAAGCATATAATTTTTCTTTCAATGTTTTATTTATCGCCCTTTTTCCTTCTTTCTTATCGGTGTTCTGTGATGGTGTAGCTGTTGCCCGGACCCGAACGTAGTTCCTCGACTCAAGGAGTGGGTCGACGGTTGTATCGCAAAGGCCTTATTCCGAGCGCTCGTGGTGCGAGCTTTCAAAGGGCCGATAGGAGGCCTATTCGCATGGTGAGATTTCTTTCATTAGTGATATTTGGTTTCCTCTTTCCATGATTGAGTCCTTACTTATTTTGTTTCATTTTGCAGGTTTACCCAAGGATGTCCAAATGAGACCTCCATCCGGTAGTGACGATCTCCCACCGAGTCCCATATTTCGAAACAGGTTGAAGAAAGTAAAAGAAAAAGGTCCCCGAGTTCTCCGAGCTTGGAGAAAAGAAAAGCCAAATAGAAGGCTGGTGCGTAAGTCCAAGGAAAGCACCAGCGCTCGAGCACCACCTTCGGGTTCTCTCTATCAGCTGATGGATGAATCGAATAAGAACAATAGGAAGAAACCTTCAATTTGGTGACCCGAGTGTCGACACGACTCGAAGGGCAAGGGGCATACAAACCAGATGGAGACGATGCCGATCTTCATCGAGCTAGGGAGGTCCAGGAGGAGGCCGATATCGAAGCTTCCCAGGACATGGGCAGTGCACCGAAGGAAGCTCTTGGTGCAATAGAGATCACCGAGTCACCTTCGTTCACTGAGTCCATGTAAAATGAGGCCCAGACGGTGAAATAACATCCCAATGAGGGAGTCCTCAGAGCGGACGATCCCTTTCGCGGCTTCTTTGATAGAGTGGACTCTACGTCCACAAAGAATGTCACCGGGTTGGGTGATTTAGAGATACTGAGGAAGATCCCACCTTCAAGAGAAAGCGAACCTTCCTCGAGTCCCAAACTGGTCAATCGATTCTCTGCCCCGAGTGTGGATCCTGGACGGAAGCGATTCATCACTTTCTCCCTTACGGAGGACTCCCGGGTTCTCTCCGCCCCTGTAGGGGTGGCTAGTTATTTTTGGTGTCTGGTGACCTAGGATGATCAGGCCAAGATGAATGAGGTGAATGCATCCTGTCTATTCAACGAAGCGCAACATGCGTTAAACTAGGTAACTTTAGATATTCCTCAATGGTTCTCAATTTGTACTTAGGCTATTTTGCAGATAACTTTAACATTTTCTCTTTG